CTTTATCGCTCCCGATTAAACTTAATAATGACACAGCACCGACTCCTAGATCGTGTAATTTTTTTACTTGATCACGATCGTATTGAATTTATCAATGACGAAATTACGATTACTAAATGTTTACAATGTTTACAATTTGTTTAAATATTTAAATCCGAATATTACATCGAATAGCTTCGGTAACGGCGTGATAAATAAGTGATTTCCTGCGTCAGTTGTGAGATTTACGAAAACATCCTTCTTTTCGTTTATAATAAACTGAAAAGTCTTTTTCTGATGCGCAGTGTTAAAACTTCCAAATTTAAAAATACTACAGACTTGTTGTGATAGCACAAGAGTGATAATAACCCATGCGTGTGAAGGTCATTGAAGGCCGATCTTCCAATTATCGTGTAGATGATTGTGATTGGTTAATTGCCGGGAAGTCAAATGTATAGCGAATGTGAGCAGACGTTAGGTGAGGCCTCGGGCCACTAACAACGTCTGCGCAGGAGGCTAGCAAGCCTGTAGACACAATAGTACAATACTGAAGTGAAGAATGTCAGTAGATTTACATGTAGGAATTTTTTTTGAGCGCTTCTTTTGCATGATATATTTTTTCTCGATTGTTTGCTGCATGATTTTTTTTTCTTTCTCCCTGGATTGCAGGAAATTTCTTTTCGAAATCTTCCAACCCCTTTCAAAATCTCAAAACGGTCCGTCTTGCCGCGGAAGCGGATGGAGCGGATCCACGGAACGGATATGCGGATAAAATATGGAACGGATGAGGATAAAATGCGTCCTTTTAATGATGTAACGACGAAGTGCTTATTATTCATAACATATCTTATACAGCTATTTCAATTATAGTTTTAGATAAATTTAGCATAGCAGTAGCCTCGTGGGGATGCTTTTAGCGACAGCTGCAAATGAAAATGAAAATTTAGAACATGCAAAATTTGGTTGTTGGTGAAACAATTTAAATTTTGAATTGTCTCGTGTAGCATCACAATAAATAGATAAATTGCATCAGTTTCACAAGTCACGTTTCTGATGTGTTAGGCTTGTTTCAAACGTCACGCTACTCGTGTGCCGAGCATATTAAAATCAATGAATAATGAGATGAAATGCCTTTGGTAACTGTTTATTTCGTAGTGTAAGCCATCAGCTTTTCTAGGTTGTCGGCCACCCTATATAGTTCTTGCAGCGTCTTTTTCAATTTTAAACTTCACACTATCCTTGGATCCCTAGTTGCCAATTGAAATGTTCTCTCCCATCCTAAATGGCCCATTTCTTCATGGAGTTCACGGTACGCCATTCGATGAAATTGCCTGGGTAACACCAGTTGTAGATATTCTCCGGCGCGACGTCGCAGTATCCCGTCTTCTCCGAGTTTCAGCTTCTTCCGTTCATTCATTAGGCGGCGTGTCATCTTTGTTTCAGCCACCCTGTCTCTTATTGACGGTTTTTCGGTGCTGTTTTCTAAGTACTGGATCACTTGTTTAAGATTATGATCATTTCGTTGCGCACTGTATAAAGCTTTTGGCGAAATCGCCTGTTGGGTAGCACCCGCTGTTTCATTTTGGTCTGCTATGTCCATGTTACCTGTAACTGCGTTAATCCAAGCAGTCTTTCCTGCTGCCTGTGCTTCCACTCCTTGATTGATGGCTTCAATGACCTTCTGGCTTGTCTATGCAGTGCATTGGCTTATGTATTATTCGACGTTCACAGGCATTCGCGACAACGTATCAGCAACTTGATTCTTACGGCCAGGACGATACTTTATGGTGAAGTTGAAGTCGGCTAGTTCCGCTAACCAATGATGTCCAGTAGCATTTAACTTGGCTGAGGATGTGATGTACGTTAATGGATTATTGTCGGTATATACAACAAACGATGGCGCGTAATAGAGGTAGTCTCTACAATGTTCTGTGATGGCCCACTTCAAAGCCAGGAATTCAAGCTTCCCAGAATGCAAATAGTAATTCTTTTCGGCTGTTGTCAACGTCCGCGAACCATATCCAATCACTCGCAGCTTGCCTTCTTGACATTGGTAAAGAGAAGCACCGAGGCCTTTGTCTGAAGCATCAGTATATAATGTATACGGCAGGTTTACATCGGGATACACTAGAATCGGTGGACTTGAAAGGAGATCAATGAGGGAGTTAAGTGCATCAGGCAATTGTTCATCCAGCCATTTTTTTGAGATCAGTGACACTTGTGCACCAGTGTCCCGTACAGAATGTACTTTTTGTCCATTTAACTGAAAATGTACCATACATCTTCTACCCACTAAACCCACGACGTTTGAATATTCTCCTGAGGTTAAATGGCTGACATATGTACCAATATCCTGATTTCCCTTAGCATTGGAATTGTTATCAACTTTCAGTTCTCTAACTGACATGCACAGTACTTTATGTTCTTTCCAGTGCTGTTTCTGGCACTCTTTTGAACAATATCGTACTAATTGACAACCAGAACATCTTGAAAAGGAGTTTCCATACTGTTCAGTTTTTAAACATTTAGAACAAAAATGGGACTTACTTGATTTACTGGCTACTTCCTGTCCCTCGGCTGCAGCCATCTTCCGTTTCCCGAATTCGGTCTCTTGCATCCTCTGGCAAAGTGGTCTGAACTACCACATCGAAAACAGTGGTCACAGTTTAGTTCTTTGGCTTCCTGACACTTTGTACATAATCTTCCCCTACGTCCCGCTTGGTTTTCCTTATACCCAGTTTCTTGCTCCTTGGCTTTCGCTTGTTGGTTTGTCAGAGTTTCCCTAAGCTCAGCAAGTTCTGCTTTTACTGTCTTTAGAGCAGAAACTAGCTCACCTTGCTTGGGTCCTTTCTTTTCTTTTACTACTTGGTTTAGAAGATCTTGCTCAATGGGTTCTTCCACATCAGCTGAACTGGACTTAACTGCTTGAACATTGTTGATTTTTCGTTGTCGTGCCTGACTTGCTTTACCGAATTTCTTTTGTCTCTCTGTTTCAGTTGATACAATTATGTTCATTTGTTCAATTAGCAATTCATCCGTTAGATTTGATTGTTGTAAGAATGGTCGTCACTTTGTTCTTACAGCTTCATGATGAAGTCCAGTCTCGAGCGAGTGTAAAAACAGTCCTTGAACAAGACTTTCATCATATTTGATCTTTACCCCTGCTTCTTTAGAGGCAAATAAAACCTTTTGACGTAGGTCTAGAGCTCTTATCAAGAAACTATGTGGACTCTCTTCAGGTGATTGTACAATTGTTGTTAATTGCTGGTAAAGTTCAGTTGCACTTTTCTCCTGAAAGTGTGATCTTAAAATAGCACGTAATTTTGGCATTGTCAGGTTACTAACTGTCTCGAGATAACTTCGCAGCTGCATGTTAGGAATAATTGCTCTTATTACACCATCAATCACTTCTGTTTCTGAGTAACCCTTAGACGATGCACTTTCGATCTGTCTGACCAAGCTTACAAATGTGAGTTTATCCTTTTGACCGGGTTCCCCTATTTGACCATTAATCTTGAATTCCCTACGTAGTACACTTTTAAGATCATTTGTGGTTGGTTTACTTACACTTGTCGCTGTCGCCTTCAGTTCACTTTCTTCCATCTTACTTTGGAGGGCTTCGACTTGTTTTTGATGATCGTTTTCCAAGTTGTCTAGTTGCTGTTTTAAAACTTCAAGTCCCTTTGGAGGGGCTTCTTTATCAGTAATCGGATTTTCTCGAGAAATTCACGGCATTGATTCTCATCTTCAATCTGGGCTACTTGCTCCTCAATTTCTCTTCGAAGTAGTCGAGTAGTACTAAGTTTTGATTTTCCTTGATATTTCACCTCGTCCAATTTGAGAAACACTGCTAGTTTAATCAATATATCTTTGCTTACTTCGCACAGTACCTTTTCTAATTGTAGCTGAAGCTCTTCCAAGTCCATTGCCATAATTAAACTTTAGCACAATCACAAAAATTATCCAAGATTCATACAGTACGAACTATTTAACGAATATTTATATACACAAAACTTATCGTTTTTCCTTCATTTTCCCATCAAAATCGCGTATTTACTTGTAATTATATGCCACCAAATTTTACCCTGGGTTTATTTCCATGAAAATACACGATTCTATTTACGATTTTATAGAAACAAAACACTTTTATTCATCAAATATGAAAGAACCATGCTCTCTTAACAGTTTTTTTCTCGTATGGCCTTATGGGCCACATTTGGCACAGATGCCCTAATTATTATCCGGGTTACATTAGGAAAGGCGGAATTTTTAATGGAGGACGAAAATCCTAAAGGAAAGGGGAAGTTTCTAAAGGGGACGAATTTCCTAAAGGGTGGGGG